TTTAATTTATCTGTATTTTTACTCAATTATTTTTATCAATATTATATTTGAATTTCACGCCAATTTTGGGGCAAATTTCTTATTGGTTCTTTCCGTATTCAGCCGCCATTATGCGCAATGATACACCTGATATATTTACATCATGTATATAGTTTAGTTCAGTGAAGAACCACAAGTGCACTAAAAGCCAAATCAGAAAGAAAGATTAATAGTATTAGGACTGATTAGTAATTAGTAACAATAACAATTTCGTACAGTTAAATATACATTTCGTCAATTGATACATATATATAGATAAAGGTAAGAGATTTATTCGCTTTTAAGTAAACTTGTTACTTATTCATCGATTGCAAATGTAAGACAATTTAAATAATAAAGTAAAACCGTTAAAATAGTTAAATTTGAAAACGACGTAACACGTACGTTTTATATCTGAATTATGTTTTTTCATATATCTATTAGATATAAAAAGTTCTTTTTATAAAACCTAAATTAGAAATCTGGCAAGAGATTAATCACAGTACTTTTTAGGTTATTGTACATAGTTTAGGATTCGCGTGTTTTTATCGTATGTTATTATTGTGTCTCTCTAAAAGGTCATCTATATTAATAGTTTGAATTTACTCGGAGATAACAGTAGCTAAGGACAATGCCTTCTCGAGAGGATTCTAGCCACAAGCATATGTCAAAATTTAAATTCTACAACAAACATGAGGTGAGTATATATAAGTAATGTATTATAATTTTCTATAACACACTCTCTCTCTCTCTCTCTTTCTCTTACTCAGATGTTATCAATAAACAAGTACACAAGTAGGGAAGGAAAGTGAATACAAGTAATAATATCTTTGTATCGTTTGTATATTTTAGATATTATGTATACTTAATATACATCAATTATATATGTGTATAATTAATATACATCAATATCTTTATTTATTATTTATTTATTTTATTTTATGTAGAGAACGATGATCTCTAGTTTTGTATAAAAATTCCAAATTGAACAAAGTAACAAGACAACTGAACCTGTTCAGTTGTTTAATTTTTATTTTTTAATCTTTTGACATTTTTCAACTTGTTAGAAATTTTGACATTTCATGACATTTGTACTATAATATTTGTTTAAAAAATCTCAAGGATTGGATCAAAATATTCTAACTTTATAGTTCCAACTTTATAGATCCAATCCTTGAGATTTTTTAAACAAATATTATAGTACAAATGTCATGAAATGTCAAAATTTCTAACAAGTTGAAAAATGTCAAAAGATTAAAAAATAAAAATTTAACGACTGAACAACAGGTTCGGTCTTTAAAAAATACAACTTTTAGTTTCTCACAAATTGTGTGTGTGTGTGTAGCATAACTTGCATAGTAAATATTTTATTTAATATTATATATTTTTTCAAAGGAAGCACGAAGAAGAAGAAGCATAGTATCTGTGGAACTACGTAAAGCCAAAAAGGATGATCAATTATCAAAACGCCGTAATCTAGATGCTGAACAAGAAACATCAACCTCACCGAAGAAACCTATTTCGCCAACTTTTTCAGTTTCTGTAGATGAACTTGTAGAAAGAATATACTCGCAAGATGAAACAACGCAATTACAAGCGACTCAAATATGTAGGAAGTTACTCAGCCGCGAAAAAAACCCACCTATAAATGATATAATAGAAAGTGGCATAATACCGCGATGTGTCGAGCTCTTGGATCGTGATCACAAGTGCGTATATATTGATTTGTCAAAGCCAACTCGATGCGTAAAATGATATGTTTTTATTGTTATTCAGTGTTCCTCTGCAATTTGAAGCAGCATGGGTAGTGACTAACGTCGCTTCAGGTACATCCGATCAAACACAAAGTGTTATCAAACACGGAGCTGTACCAAAGTTAGTAAAGCTGCTCAGATCCACATCACCCAACGTCGCGGAACAAGCAGTATGGGCTTTAGGAAACGTAGCCGGAGATGGACCTTATGCGCGGAATCTCGTTCTTGAATACGACGCTTTACCTCTGTTATTGGATTTGATTAAACCTGATACCTCTGTATGTCTACATCAAAACATTCTATATATGTATATACAGAGCGTTCCAAAAATTTTGAATAAGTCGAAGTGAGAAGGTAGATTATGTTGATCTGAATAGAAAAGTTATATATCATTTTGCAAAATTTGCAATAGTTTTTGAATAATTAATTTAACAAATGTGAACCAATGAGCGCGCGGAAAGCGATGGTTTTGGACTCTGTAGGCTTATCAGCTGTAAAGAAAGATGACTTCTTTCATGCAATGTCCTAGCAACGCGAGGCGGAATAAACAAGCAAGCACGGCGTGATTCAGCTTGCAAGCAGCCGATATTCGGCGGTAAGTAGTAAGCAGCGGAGGAGTGAGAAGACTGCTTTTTGTGAGTTTGAGTGATTCTCACGGCGATATAACGCAGCGAGCGGCGTGTGATATAAATAAGATATTGTTAGTAATCGGACGAAAAGACGTCATACTTATTTTTTTGTATCAAAATAAGGAAAACGTCGAAACATTGCTTTTCGCGCGTTCATTGGCTCACATTTGTTAATTAACTATTCAAAAACTATTGCGAATTTTGCAAAATTATATATAACTTTTCTATTCAGATTAACGTAATCTCTATCTTCTCATTTCGGCTTGTTCAAAATTTTTTGAACACTGCATACGTATAAAATGTTTTTAATCTTTAATAACTTTCTAATAACTCAAATATTCGAAGTATCTTTTACACACGCTATTTTCAATAATAACACGATATACAGGTAACATTCATGCGCAATATTGTTTGGACTTTATCAAATTTGTTTCGAAATAAAAATCCACCGCCACCATTCGAAGCAATCAAACCTGCTCTGCCTGTATTCAATCATCTACTTCTAAATACAGATTCAGAAGTACTCGGTAAGGAACACTTTGTCGCAATAATATTGCTTATTTTAAGAAATGTAACACACTGTGTTTCACTTTGTTTCGTAATATTTAGCCGACACTTGTTGGGCACTCTCTTATCTCACCGACGGGTCTAACGATAAAATACAAGCTGTATTGGAGACTGGCATTATACCGAAACTCGTGGAGTTGCTCGCTTCGAATATAGTAGCTATCCTTACTCCGGCGTTGCGTACGGTTGGAAATATCGTAACAGGTGACGATGTTCAAACGGACGCTGTCATCTCCGCGGGCGGATTACCGCGTCTTTGTACATTGTTGCACCATAATCGTCACAATATCGTAAAGGAAGCCGCTTGGGCAATCAGTAATATTACGGCTGGTAATACCGAGCAGATTCAACGTGTTATCGACGCTGGCTTGTTACCGCCATTGATAGATGTACTTAAACATGTAAGCACGTATTTATATATACATATATATGTTATATATGTGCACACACGCAATTTTATAAAACAAAAATAGAAGATTCGCCAAATGTTTTCTTCAAGATAACTTTCTGTCAATTTAGGGAGATTACAAGTCGCAGAAAGAAGCCGCATGGGCTGTAACCAATTTGACATCCGGTGGAACGATTCAACATCTCTCGCAGCTAGTAGGATCAGGAGTATTGTCGCCTTTCTGTAATTTGTTGGAAGCAAAAGATTGGAATATTGTAATTGTTGTCTTGGACGGTCTGACTAATATTTTGCAAGCTGCCGAAAAAATGGGAGAATCCGATAGAATCGCCATTATGATAGAGGAAATCGGAGGGTTGGATAAGTTGGAGACTCTTCAACATCACGAGAACGAACAAGTTTATCAAAGATCTTTGGCTATAATCGATACGTATTTCACCGGAGAGGTTTGTATCTTTATAACTTCTATACATAGGGTAGATTACCTCAATAACAGGGTAGATGATAATTTATATGAATAAGAATAATTTATTTATTTTTTCTGTAAAATAAGTTTTATCCCAAAGAGATAAAAAAAACAATCTATTATTTTGTATATATTGTATGAAACAGAGTCGTCATAGAAATTCTGTACAAAAATTTACTTCTTTTTTTCAAGAGACAAAATATTGGTTTTGTTTTTTAGGATGGCAATGAAACAACGGCTGTCTCTTCCAATGTAGAAGAGAACGGTGAACACTTTGAATTCAACGTAACAGAAAATTATTCGTCAACGGATAAATTCAATTTTTAAATAAGTTTTATTTCTTTTTTGTACATCCAGGTTGTGTGGATACATACATATCGCAAAACGACAAATTTGTGTAAATATAACCGCGGCTTGTATAGCTCTGTCTATCTTGAGATAAAATCACGTTGCACTTTAAATATTTTTCTCTTATTATTCACAACAAGTTCGATCATTCTAATTCATCAAACGATAGAATATTGTCTTCCTTTTCGTTCTTTGTATATTGTTGAGACAAACTTTCTTTTACCGGTGTTGGAAACATTTCTGAGATGGCTTCTGGATGTTTCTCACATTGATCTTTTGAATTTGAATTTGTGTATTTGGCAAATAAATTTCTCAACAATTTCAGAATAACTTCATCTTGTGTTAATTTTAATCAATATATACAATTTTCGCGCGTATAAATAAATTTATTGGAAGCATTAATTTAGCGCAATAATCAAGTTTTATAATAATGTGAAGATAATCCATTTCTCTATATAAGAATGATTTATAACAAGAAACGATTGTATTTTCTCATTGATATATAAATAAATCTTAAGTTTTTTATACATAAATATATACTTCTAAAGTTTTGTCACGATGTATATTTTCTAAACCCTCCACTACCAAATTCGAAATCATTTTTGACCTTTTTTAATCAAAAACTTGAAAAAACTTTTCATCAATTAAAAAAATTATCGGAACGCACTATAAATACGTTTGGCGCAAATAACATGTTATTACAAGTCACAAGAGAAATAAACCCTCAAGTTCAAGGTTTTATTCTTATTACTTTTTTCTCGGCATAAATAAATCAGTGTGTAAGACAAAATATATACAAACACAATTTTATTTATTTTTTAAATACATTTGACTTTCCCACTTGAGTGATATTCATCGGTAACAGATATGCGTCATATAATAAATTATAAATATATGTAAATATTTTTTCAGAAATACGCTATGTACAAAAAATTATATATAAATATATGCTATATATACAAAAATTGTTTTTAAAGTAGTATACACATTCTCTCTTCTCCTGATTACAAAGAATAACTAATACAACAAACACATGTCTTATTTTACAGTTTTTATATATGTATAAAGTATCGGTTATTTTTGCGAAGCTCTATACGGAAAAACTTGTAATACTGTATATTTTGGTTAAAATCAATAATCGTGATTCACACATTATCGACCCATAAAATCACTTTGGTCATTAACTAAGAAATGATAAACAAACGCAGCTTTCTTCTTATCGAACATAATTTGAGTTGCGCGACTTCTTTGCTGCTGACGATAATCTCTACTTCTGGGCGGATCTCGTAAAAATATCGATCCGAATAACGTTGCGAGCGTCTTGGCATCTAGTTCATTATCCTGTGTATGATTCAACAACTCCTGCAAGAACGAACTGATATAAAGAAAGACTGTTCTTCTAATTTCGGGCAGCTGCATTACGATCTGTTTGCACTGCAAATAATTAGTCGCCGCGGATAGACAAATATTATGCAAATTATACGGTATCAAGGGTTCAGACGTGGACTCCAAAAGCAAGAGCAACGCCTCTGCCACCGAATGCACACTACCGGGCATCGAATCTTGACTCCATTCGTCCAACCAGTCTCGAATAGCTATTATCTCGTTGTGTAGTCCTGGTGTTTCAAAAAGTCCCGGAGTCTTGATACCGTGTCGATAGAGCTTGTCCACTAGATACCAGATTTCCTTCGGTATTGGATACGGTTCTTGCGACAAATTTTTGTTACTCTCCAATTCCACCAATCGCCCGATAGGGATTTCCCTAATCGGTAGCGGAATATGAGCCAACGCTTCCATAGAAGAACCAAAACAGCTTCTTTCATAGCTACCTGTTACTGTAATAAAAATATCCTTTCCTCCTTCGAGATGCAAGACCAAGATATCGTACAATTTATCCTCACCGGAGTTGAATTTACAGGCAGTCTTTTTATCCACGTACACTTCCAGGTTGATATCACACTTTTCACCTGGTTTTATGAAACCCATATAGGGTTCTATATGCAACCAATCCTTGCAGTAGCTGGTATCGTCCAATTTCTTAATAAATTCAAATTGCACAGGTACTTGGCCTGTATTGGCGATAATAAGTTCCTTAGCGGTAGGTTCGAGAAACTTTAAAACGTCAAAAATAATATCCGTAGTATCGACCATTACTTGAGGCAAGAATTCATTTTCCAATTTATCCAATTTCTTCATTACTTCTTCGTGAATCTTGCGATATTTAGCCGTGTCTATAATTCGTATCTGAGAATCGAAGCTCGCACTAACCGGTTTGTGATCGGATATCTTAAGTTCTGGACAACTTTTGTAAGCAATCGCTTGAACAGCGTCACCTTTCCACAATACCCGATCGCACCAAGCGGGAGCTCGACATTTCTCACTGGAATCCCAGTTATCAGTACCCGGATCGTACTTGTACGTAGGCTTGAAAATAATTTCGGCCTCTCGAAACCCCTGAAACACACGTCCTGCCTTACGTTGTTGTCCGAGCTGATCAAGTGCCAAAACGGGAGTGTAATTGCCTTCAGAAATGTATCGCTTAGCCACCGCAGCGTCCATATCCGTAATTCGATAATTCAAGTCTCCCAACCAATAAATCTGATCGTGATCTTTGAAACTCTTGGGCGGCACATATTTTGCAAACGACAATCTCGTGCAAATATCAGCGTAATCCTGATTGCGTCGTTCGTATTCTTCGCAGTGCGCAGCTAAATGAGCATTAACGAAACAAACGGATGTATTATGAATGCAACAACTTACCGCAACACCACCTTTGTTACCCAACTTTCCCATAATACCTGTTCCCACTGTATCTGTACATACGTTTTCAATGAAGGGTGTGTGAGCGTCGAGCGCGTATACTAACAACATTATGCCGACAAGTCTAACGAGAGCGACTTGAGCATAGACACCACCAGGATGAAGTGAATCGACCACAACTTGTCTCCATTCTTCCTCTCGAGGTGTCTCGTGAAAGAGGAACGCTTCCTTGCTCAGATCCAATTCTTGGAATCCGATGGCATATATGTCCGGTGGTGTTTTGTCAGCACTTAACCACTTGTCCAATTTGATACCATTAGGCGGCCTGCCGTTTACGTTCCATGTGCAAGCGAGTATACGAAAAGTTTTAGTGTACGTATAATCGTCCTCTTTACAAGCCATTTGATAGCGCACCACTGATTCTCTCGCAGCTACAGGCGATTTACCGCCCGAAGCGATGCTTCGTCTCGGTATTCCTAAATCAGGACTCTCGAGCAAAGGATCAACAACATCCTCTGCATCGGTCAAACTTCTCACACTTCTCGTTAGTTTTTCTATCCAAGCAAACTCAATTGCCGAGTTTTTAGCTGTCTGATACACTTCTATCGCGCGAAATATTTCTGATACCAAGGAACTGGTCGCTTCCCCGAGTTTCATTTCGAATATAAGACGAAGTTTTCTGGATGTAATATTCATGTATACGTCGAGACCATCTTTATTGTCATCCTTGATTCCACCTCCGTTAGTATCTAAAAAAAGAAACAGAATCATTGTCAAACAGTTCTTTCAATCATATAAAGTTTATATATCAAGAAAGTCAACACTACCTATACCACATTTGAAATCTTGATCGATAGGTAAAATTCCTTCCAGAGTAAGATCGCTGTAGACTCGCGGAGGTATCTTGGAAGTGAGAAAAATGGCTAAAGCATGAGTAGCACCTTTGCAAATAAGCGCTACGTATCTCGAAGATTTGATCCATCCTTGTATCAACGACGCTTCTGTAGCCTATGTACGGTCAATTAAGGTATAACAGACTCATCAACATTTATATCAAATCAAATAGATAACAGAGAGTAAGTTGTTGTCGATTTTATGTACGATTATAACATCTACATGTTTTACATTTGTATATATACATATGTAAAACGTATATTATATAATACATGTATACAGTGAATTATGTATTTGACTTTTACAAAGGATACAGTTACGACGGTTTCACCCGAAACAAATTTTGACTGTACAATCGCCACTGGTTCCGACACTGACATCGCTCAAGTAACGTGCGTGCAAAAAAGTACAATTAACATCAACGAATTTTTTTTTACGAGAAATTGTACGTAACTCCCGTTCTAAAAGTATCTCATTCTTACACACAGTAATTCGATAACAAACATTCCAGCGCTCAAGCAGTAGTCGATAAATAAGAGTGCGTTCAACTTATTGATCTTAGGCCTGGTTTCACAATTCGCGGTTAACTCTAGTTAACCAAAGTTCAAATACTTGCTGAACTCGGTTTAACACATTTTTTTTTTTTTTTTTTTTTTTTTTTATTGAAAAAGTGATTTAGATTCTGA